CCCCCCCCCTCCCTACCCCCAGGCCTCCGTTGCTATCCCACCCGCTACTCGGGAAACAGAAGGAAATCGCACTCAACACACTTGTGTGTTGGTGCCTTTCCTTCTGTTTCTCCTAGCTATTGCTAGCTACCCGGGCGGTTTAAGACGAATGTCCCGCTCGCCTTCTACTTTCGTTTAACTAAGTGGGCCTCGTAACTCCCCTATTTTTCTTTCTTGCCCTCTTAGTCTGCTCTTGTTTCGTTGCTTTTTCTGTCTTTCTAAGGCTTTTTAGGTGTCTACTAGTTTTTCGTTGCGCCAACAATTTGGCGCTTTTTGTACAAATGTTCCCCTGGGAGTTAGGACGCTACTGGAGGCCCCTGGCCTTACTACTACTTTGACCGCGCCAAAAACGGCTTTGTGTGTGTGTCCACCCCTGGGCAAAAGGTTTTCGTCCACTGGTTCAACGGTAGGGGGTGTCTTGAAAAAGCGCCGAAGCCGGCGACTTGTGTGTGTCCACCCCTGGACAAAGGGTTTCCTTCGACCACCCCAATCAGGCAGGGGCAGGTAGGGGGCGACAGAGTCGCTGCATGGCTGTCGCCAACGAAGCTCCATGCAGTTGACTAGGATATCACGGCTGATCACCGTGACGTACCTGCCACAGCAACTTTTGACCACGCTGTCTAATTGGCTTTGTTTGTTTCCATGGTTCTTCATGCTATCACCCCCAAACATACTCGTCCCCAGCAGCTGCGCCGCCGATTTGTTTGCTGCCGCCTTTGTGACAACAATGTTAAACCTTTCAAGTGCTCGGACCCATGCACCTTTCTGTTCTCTCACCTTCCTTCCCAACGTGACTTGCGTTAACTGAAAACCAATGTCAGAGTGTGTGGGTGGGGGGGAGTTCTGAGACGTGGTGGGTAAACTACTGGAGACCCAAAACACAAGCCAAGATGAAGAAGTCTTCACCTCTCTAACTGTAAAGCGTCCAATCTAGAACATTGAGGTTTCCACCCCAGACCATTCAGACCATCCATGGACGGAATATTTACCTACATGGACCCTTACAACATCACAAACGCCCATATTCCACACATCGATTATCATGGGTTGTCAGGCCATGGCTTGTAGCTCCAACATGGATCTCTCCGTGAACACTTCAGACGGCCATGTCGTCTTGCACACATTCACACGTGGCAGCGCGGTGGTTCCGAGGCTCAAGCCGCGACGGGGCAGGGGGCCTTGCAGTTGAGAAGGTTCACTGGAGCTGGGCTCACCTCTTTGCTGGGCAACCAGGGGGTGCTCACTGGAGCTTCCACGCTGTCATTGATTTCGGGAAAGAGTTCAGCTGTTTCAACTTGGTGACTCTTGACTAGCATTGACCTCCAAGAGGAAAAGAAAGGTCGGACCATGTAGGATGCAACCTGCCACTGCAAAATGGCGGCTGTGGGGCATGCCTTGATTTCCAGTTGACTCCCACTCAACTTGGCTCAATATGTTACTCATGTTGGTGGATGGCCCGTTGGACACGTTGGAGGTCTGCTTGCATCATCTTCACTTCAACCTCCGTCAATGCCCCCCAGCACCGCCTTCAAACCACTGGGCTCATGTGCCACGACTGCGCTGAGGCTATGAGAGGTCCATAGAATAGCCAGAACAAAAAGACTCTGCCGCTGGGCAAGGCCTACTGCAAAGAATTAAAAGCAGACTGGTTGGGAAAACGTAGCGCAAGAAACGTACTGGTCGAAGAAACCATGACATCAAATGATGAACATGATCTATCTTTGTCCTTTTTGATCAGAAGGTTCGGTCTTCGGTGTTGCCGGAGTCGATTTGCGGTTTTTCAGCACGACAACGCGAGGATGAGCAAGGTGTTCCCATGGATGTCCTTTTGGGGAATTAGAGGGGTTCGATGCCAGCTGCCATACGGTGCCATATATATATATACACATATTACATATATTGGTTGTTCACTTGTCTCGGTATTTTTTAATCCTCTATTAGTTAAAAGGCCATCTATAGTGACTAGTGGTGGTCGAAGAAATCTATCTGTCCGAGACAGGTGCCAAAGAGTAGATTCTGAACTTTCTGTAGCAAGTCGTGCCCGTATTTTGAGGACATCCCATTACCAGTAACAGTGCACCGGATAATGATGGTTAGGTCACAGGCATTTCTCAAACATAGTGATTATCTTCAAGCAATTGTTGCTGCTAAAGGGAGACGCACGACCTGTATCAGAAGACGCGGAGCTCACTTATCTTTACCTTTCCATCACACCAACGATCTCGCTGCAATTGGTGAAACCCCCGTCAAAATAGACATCCACAAGCGTGGAAGGTACCTGGTTCGTGGTTTCAACTCACTTGAAAATTACATATATAATATCGTCTGTGGGTTAACGCATCTCAAGTAAAAGTTGAAAATATCCAAAGCCACCACCCAAAGACTGCTGATGCAATAAAACCCTCCCGACATGGAGATGTAAGACCTGTCTGGAGGCTGGGGGTCTACACTTCATGAAATCCAACTGTCTACACCTCATCGGCCCAAAGGCGCTTGTAGAAAAGGACGCTGATGTTTCCACCTGAATATCATCTGATCGACCCAAACCACTTGCACATCATCTGATCTCAATGAGCTGGCGACCTCCCGTTGCGATCCTAGTCGAGAGCATGGCACAAGATGCGATCGATCCTAATCGCCATCACTCTCAGAAGCTTCCTCGGCTTCCTCCTGCCGGTGATGCATCCACAATGAGTTCATGAGATGAGATGTTCTTTTAATCCAGTGGCACTCGTCACCCAGGTCACGCTCTGATTCACAGCTCCTGGTCCGTCCCGCCTTCGACGCCGATCCCTCCCTGGGGTGCATGTGTTGGACAGCGAAGACGGGTTGGCGGCCTCAACTCACCTGGAAGAAAATCCCTAGGGCTCCTGGCCCGCCTTCCTTTCGAAGGTGGTTAATTGGGGTGGTGGTCGGGCGGAAGGTCAGGCTGCCCACCGGTCACCTGAGGAGATGGGCCGTTCGGAGGTTTAGGGAATATGACCCTCTCGCTGTCACGATCCCGCACCTGAAAGAAAGTGTCCCGGTGGTGGAAGACCATTTTGCCCAATACCGGCCCGACGTGGTTTTGGGGTTGCATGTGGTCCGAATTGCAAGGGAGCAGTCAGTGGGACCAATCATCTCAAGTAAAGGTTGAATATAGACATATCATGACCTATTTGAAAGCAGCACCCCAAAGAGGGACTTCATATGGCCTAGGGCTCCTGGCCCATCTCGTAGGCACAATCACCCCCCAAGACCACCCACCCCATCCACCGAACCGAAACAGATGTAGTTGGAGCCCTTCTATATGATGTCTGTTGGTTCATCCAAGTCTGGCTATCAGTAATATGATGTAACATGGTCCTACATCTTCATATGGGGGGTATACTGGGGGGTATTTGACTTATCAGTCTGGAGCTGCCCACTGCTGGGCGGTGAGTGGAATGAGTGAAGCTTGCCCACTGCTGGAAAGGGTGGGGGCTTCACCTGCAGCCCGCTTCAAGGCGGTCGAAAGGTTTTCAGGTTTCGAAGTTCAAGTGTCGCAGCACAGAGGTCCTTCTCTTCTTTATCACCCTTTTCATCCTTTTTTGCCTTTGACTTCTCATTTCTGTCCTGTCTTCGGCCAAGCGCCGCGGGATGTTGTGGCATGACACGGGTGCACCGCCATCACATACACACATGGTGTCCCCACACATGGTGTCCCCCACACATGGTGTCCCCCAAAGATGGTCCTCCCAAACAGAACGACATGTGACCCATGCCGGATACAAAGGGTGTCATCATGTGTCATCTAAGAATGTCACTCGCACATTCGACAATCGTTTCAGGACCGGCCGTCAAGTGTTTTTGGAGACAAGTGCTGAACGGCACTACTATGAACGGCTATAGGAACGCGGGGCCCACTCCCTTCACAGCATGTCGTAGCGGCATGTTGAGGTCATTCAGAACATTTCCGTTGAACCATTCAAGACATTTCAGAACCTGTTGAGCCTTATAGAAGAAACCATATTAGAAACAGTCTCAGAATGAGGATCCTTCGGAAACCCGGCGAACCCAAACCACTGGAGCCGGGCCCCGAACCCCCGACCGGTCCTCGGACTCGGCCTACGTGGGCGAAAGCGAACGCGAACGCGAAGCCGGACGGTCGTTGTCCACACCCCCTGTCACAATCCATGTGCCACCCGATATGACAACAGGTCCTGCCTGGTGACAACAGGTGCCCTGAAACCACCTGTTAGGGTCTCCAAAGAGCTTGTTGGAGGGTCCTAGTATACATATATAATATATATTATATATATATATAATATACCAGGACCCTCCAGTCACCACCTCCGACTTTTAAGTCCCAATAAAACCTCCAGAGCAGACCTGTAGAGCCGGGTGCTGATGTGAATGATACATCATGATACATCACCCCCGATGCAGCCAGGAGGCACATGGAGTTGGGTTGGAGAACAAAAAATCCCTTGGAGGAGGACATTCCTTGCTTTACAAAACAGGGGGCTTTCACTCCACTTCCATGTTCGACAGGTCAGAGTGTAGTCAGTCATATTTCTAGTGGATTGAGAGGTTCGATGGCACGGTCGACCCCAGGACGTTGGTGAACGTTATTTGGACCCCCACGCTGTGCAGGACATGAGGGGAGAAACGTGCGAACCTCTGAAAGCACTGCAATACAACCTATGTGAGGGACCCACGGAGTCAGTGTAGTCAGAGTGTAGTCAGTCATATCATTCCCTTTGGTGTACTGTAGTCTTTGCCCGTTGCAGGCTTCAAACGCCCCAGAAGCCTCAGGTTTGGTGGCTAGATTCTCTCCCCCATACACACCCACCCGAACCATACCCTAACCACCTTCAAAACAAAGGTAGGAGCCCTCGGGTTGAGTTGAACATCTGAAAGACATGCGTTCGCTCCACATCTGAATCCCCATGTTGTGGCGCACTGTGCAAGGAGATTTCTGGGCATGGCACCTGTACGACCCATGGCACCTGTACGACCCTTGACAACAGCAGTGAATCCCTCCCTTCGAAAAATCATGGAAGCTGAGCAGAGCCAGAGGCCTACACTCCACTTCCGTTCGTGAGTGTCCGGGAGTGTAGTTCAGACCAACAGCGAAACAAAGTCTTCAATGAACAGTGTGATTCTGTTGATCAACACACTGTCCACATGTTCAAACATCTGTGATTCTGTTCAAACAGACACACTGTTCATCAATGGCACATCTGTGATTCTGTGATGGATTGATCTGAACAGTGTGGAAGACGCAGCGCAGCTCCTGAGCACAGGGGTGCACCTGCGCAGCCACCATCCATCCGGTGTCATCAGGGTTCCCTTGAAACAGATCAATGAAACAACAGTTGGTTGCGTCGTCGGTTCTGCTAGTAGTGATTGTGCACATAAAACCTTCATGAAACCACCACTCTTGGTAGAAACAACGGTTGCTAATGCGCCTTTCGTAGCCTTTCATTGAGGAAGGCAAAGCGACAACTGGCCATGGTGTACCAGTGTAAAACTTCATGAGCCATGGCCCCTCGCACAACAAAAAGTGCTCTCGTAGCGGTAACCTTTCACACACACACATGACTGACACCTTATATATATAATACAATGTATATATTTATGTCCCCCTCTTTCTTCTCAGTAGCCGCGCGCTCTTTTCTGGAGCG